ATTGTTATATTACTTTGATTCCTTCTCTTAAGTGACCTATGAGATTTTGGGACACATTTTCCAGAGTCTGTGATATTTTTTTGGGCAAAAATATTCTCTTTCATCATTAACCCATTGTTTAGGTTTCAACAGAAGGTAATAATTAATCTCAATTTCATAAATATGAAAATTACCAAAGCCAAAGTACCATGAACACATCAGATCTACTGATTTAAGTAAAAGGAAAGAGTAAAAATCATACTAATATTAATGTGAGAGGTGATATCTTGAAAGGTCCACAAATTCAGTTTTGTGGATCTTACTGGATCCAACTTTTCATATTCACATTTCATAAACCTCCTGAGGTCAGATGCTCCTCCATAGGAGTAGTCTGAATTTACTTAAATGGTGACTGGAGTTTGTCAGAGAACAATGTTTCTGCCATTGAACATCACATGGTTGGTTCTATCCTACTTTCTTCATGTTGGATACAGGTCCCAAGGCCTCCTACTTCTATAACTTGTCTTTAGACAACTTTGACTAGCTCTTCCAACAACCTGCCTTTACTTCTGGATCTTCTTTCCCTGAGAAACATCAGATAACACTCACCTTTGTTCTCCATTGCTCTGGTAAATCGGGTATGTGATATTTGTTCTCTTACTCCAGTTCTTTCTTCTGATTCACTTAGATGAGTTTTTCCATATACCTCAACTCATAAGATTTTCCTCCCTATTCCTTCCATCCATGATTGTTGCAGTATTGCAGATTCTTTCTGTCTCTGCTTCATGTTGACTCTCAGTTGATCAGACATAAGACTTCTTCTTGTTGCTGGTATTTGAAATTCTTCCTATTTTTTATTGCTCTTATTTCTTGAATACCTTCTCTCATCTTAGGGATTTTTTCTTCCCCATCTTTGACTCTCTTTTACCTTCAGTCTAATCATCGTCATATTTTGCTTACTCACCTTTCTAGCTTGCTATCCTCTTTACCCTTTCTGCCTGAAGCTCTGAATTGCTACCTTGATAGCTTAACTATGAAAGGCTGTACTAATCTGTTCTTCAAGCTTCACCATTTTTTTCTTTAGCTGTTACCAGCTCATTTACCTCATTGTTTCTGGCTCTTGTTTTATTGGGATGCCTTATTGTTTGGAATTATACCCCCCTAAGTTTATCTCAGGGGCACTCAATTTGGCACCCTTCCTTCATGCACTAGTTTGTGCAGTGTTCTTCATCATGCAGTGTCTTAATGGTGTATCCCTCTCCCAATAGACCAGCTACAGTGGGACTGTTCTGGAGCCACCTCTCAGTTTTGGCTTGTGGTAGCTTAGCACTTACGCTCTGCCACCTGTGGATTCACTTTGCAGAAGACTCTTGGGTCACACAATGTTTTAATGAGGAGCTTTCTTTGACTTATGATAACTTATGATTAAGATAACCTAAATGCATTATTTTGCACTTGCTATAATTAAAGGGAATTGATCCAAACATACTTAGTGCAACTAGAAATACCCAAGACTTTAATGACATCTACATATTATATTAAATTACTGATTATGTTTTTGCCCACATCTTTAATGTGAAAAGGAGAAAACAATAGCTCAAGCACCGACCCTTGAGGCATTTTAATAGTAACAAGGATCAAATTTGACTAGACTCCATTAATAACAACTTTTTGCTTTTTCTCATTCAACCATCTTCCATTCCAATTTACTGCTTTCTACCCAATCCCCACCATTGTGGGTTCCTTAGCTATTTTTTTTTGTGTGTCTCACCTTATAAGAAGCTTTTTGAAAATCTAATGTTATGTATTATAATTTATCCCAGAGGAGTCTCTAACTTATTATGTAATGTGTTATAATTTCAATTAGCCTGAAACTGAGTTAAATGATCATTTAAATTTAGAAATTAAATAAATATCTATGTATTCAGTTTATGATATTTGCCAACAACATTGATACATACAGTTTTTTTTAATACAAATATATTTTATTATACAAACAATACAATTTACAATAAAGGTTATTACAAATAATGATCTATGTACAAAAGTTTTATAAACTTACAAATGATATTTAGTCTTCTATCTGGTCTGGAACTCCTTGATATTTTATCAAGGGTTTGCAATGAGCAAATTAATTTTGAGTTGATGTAGATACAATTCACTTTAAGGGAACTAGCTAGCTCTGTTTTTCATTCTTCCCTGGCCACACATGCTAAGTTGTCCACAGCTGATGTTATGTAATGTTTTTGTAAAAATACTAATGTCCGAGGTGAATCTGCCGAAGTTAAATGGTTTGTAATATTCAAAATCTATAAATGTTCCTGGTCAAATATCTGAAGTTCCCAATGAAAAAGCATTATAACAATCACAGTTATAGCTTCCAAAGTTTATACCACACTAACTATAGCTAACCAATAATGTATATTCTTCTGGTGCTTCTCATTGGTTATATTTATAGGCATGAGGAGATTTTCTTGAAATTTCAGCTTACACAACAGTATAAATGATACACCAGTGTTTACGTACACATAAAATTGTTGATTCTTTCACTCGAGAATTTGCTATAATTTTACTGAATAGGCAGGAATTTCGCAATACAGATTTAACAGTGCAAGTTATGTACATTTCCACATATAAATTTAACTTAAACAAATATCAATATTAAAATAGATAAAGTATAGTAAATTCATCAAATTAAATAAATGAAATTTATACTCTTTCCGTCATCCAGATAACACACAATATCCTTGAAAGAAGTTGCAAGATTAGTAAGGGAAGATGTTTCTTTAGTGAATCTGTTTTGATTTTGTTTAATTGTTTAGTAAGCCAATTAGGTTTAATCTTCCCAGTTGTTGTTTTTCCTTTTCTTTTGGAAACATACATATCTTGAACTAAAAGCAATTTTGTTTTTAATATTTCCCATATATATATATGTCCTGCACCACCTTTTAACTCATTATCCCAATTCACTAATGATAAATCTTCTCTTGTGGCTTCAATATTGGATTTCTGAAAATTAAGAGCTAAAATTTCATTTTTTTTATCTCAGTATGTAGCAAAAGACCAAACCTAATTATGCAATAGTTTCTCTTTTCCAAGTGTTCCTCCCAATTCAACTCTTGTAACCACATCCTCATTAGTGTTTCAAAATAAATCTGGTTGGCTCTCTAATCATTTGGTATAGAAAACCATCCTGAATCACTTCAAGAAACTTTTCACCTTGACAACATAAATCTCAAGCAGTGTATGAAATTAACATAGTCCATGATTATTGCATTAGTATTTTTTTAGTTATAGCATTGTTATCAATACACTATTTCTGTCTGATCTGATGACCTCTAACAATTATTAATTAACATAATATTATGGACAACAAAGGACAAGCTGGTCCTTCAAAGCTATCCATGTATACTAATCCCTGAAAAAAGTAAAAATTTTAAATCTAACCTTTATATTCCAGAAAATTATCTTTCCCTCTTTTAAACTCTTGTGAAATATCAACCACCAACACTGCTTACAGCAACACATTACATAAGCTAAAAACTTTTTACCCTTGAAATCTCTAAATGTAATCCATATAAATTCAATCTCTTAACTCCCTTTTTGATGTTTTTCTTACATAGTGGACCATTCTACCCATTTAAAAAAAAAATCTTGCACTGTCAGTGTTCTCCAAATCTAACCAAGTTTGAGTAATTCCCATTATATCAAAGTCTTCCATGTAAGTAGGTTAGCATACTCTGATTGAAAGTTAATATTTTCACTATTGAAGATGATGTGAAATATATAGGAGTTCATGTGCCTAAGGTGCAACAAGGGATATGTTGGCCACTAGAAGACTAAGCATTCTAATGCTAAAACCTACAACACCAGTAGTATTATACTAACCTCTCTAACAAAAGTGATGTTGTGCCTACCTTTAGGAATAATTCAAACATAGAATCTCTTATCATTAAGCTAAGAAAACCAGATCTTAATCAGAAGATAAGCACATTTACACTATATCTACAATTGTGAAAATATAAATAACGAAAAGAACATAAACTTTGATTGTTGAATATGAGGTGGGCTAAAGTCTAATATAAGAAAAAAGTAAATGCAAATTTTGAAGACATTCATTAATTCTTATAAAAGTATATCTGAGAGCAAGATATCCTTAAGTTAAATGACCTTACAATTTAGTCTATGTTTATTCTTGTATCAATTATTTTATTCCCAGTGCCAGCGACAGGCTGTTTTACTGAAACATATGCTTCTTCTTTGGAAAAATGGCATTCCCATGTCCATTGAGGTTATTTTACATCCTGACTGTTGTAAGCTAGAAAACTTTGAGAGTCTAAACGTTGAAGCATCATCTAATATTGATACATCATCTGTTCTGTTAGAACAGTGGAATGTTCACATGCTACCAAAAAAGTAAGTTTAAGATTGTCTAAATGTATGTATAACTTAAAGAACTTATTTTTCAATTTAAAAAATGGAATATTTGTGCTAATTAAAGTAACTTTTAATTTTAATGTAGCTGACCAACAAGCATTAATGCAATAGCATGTTTTAAAAAACAATGAAATGAGACCCATATTTTTTGTTATCTTGTATAAGCAGTAGAATGTTCAGAATAAAAGATCAGATAAGTACTTTTATCTCACTTTAACTAATAATCTTTATTAATTTCATTATGGAATATAAACATGTTAAAGAACTACAAAATGTTTGTTTAGCTTTGTTTACATGATTACTTTAATTAACTTGTTTTTGAAGGATCTAATTAATAAAAGGTGAAATAATTTCTATTATGAGCAACTTCTGCCAGAGGAATGGCTAAAATATTCAACAAAAATTACACTTAATGATAATTAGTCTTAATTATGGGCAACAGGCAAACAACAAAAAGCCTTTATGACCACACTGCCTTAGGCCATCAGTTGAGTATTATTTTAATGATTAATAGTTTTCAGTTCTTGTGTAGATGCACACAATTTATTAAAAAAGAATCAGATTTTTACAAAGTTTTTTTTTCTATGTTTGGTAGAAAATTTTTTTGTACTTTATCCTTGGTAGAAATAACATATCAAATAATACCAAAAGGGAAATAAGTATGCTATGCATACTATATCTGACTCTAATATTACATTGACCAAGATTGGTGTGTTGTTTTTATTCATTTCTGTAGAGAAATTGTAAGGTGGAAGAACATAACTGTGGATGCACTGGATACTTGATTAAAGCAAGCTTTAGTTCAATTACACATACATACATACCAATTTTTCCAGATTTCTAACATTTTGGAGCCTATGTTCCCAACATGCTGGAAATGCTACTAGAATGTGTGAAAATTTGTTGTTGTTTTTTGCCGAAAACATGTGGGATTTTTTAAATATTGTAAAATTACAAACAAATAAACTCTCAGTGCAACCTTTGAAATCACAAAAGAAAAAGAAAGTTCGGTTTTCCCTCTAGTAGAGGATTATTTTGATTTTGGAATAATAATTATAATATGATATTGTTTTTATTGTAGTTACTCCTGGTGTAAAACTTAGTTTATTGGAAGTCCTTTAATTGTTCTATTCTACTTTTCAAAGGCTTATATGTAAACGATTTGAAAATATTATCAATACTACAATTTGTTTTTAAAATAAACCCATTTAATGAAAGATAAACTCTTTACATATAATTAAAGCTAAACACTTTTATTGTTGTTCCACTGAAATCCAAAATATGTTATTTAAGGTTTATATATTTCCTATTACTTTAAAACCTTTACATCATGCCTTATAAATTGTTTCTCTTTTTGTTCTTGTAAGATGTAATGTAGTTTTACATGATGGTAATTAAAGAAAAATGTCTTACTGTAGTTCCAGTGAAATTATAATTAGTGTTCTAGAAGAAACGAGACTATTTTTTTCTTAAATTTAAGCAAAAATTAGTGTCCAACATGCTGTGTTACAGAATAACATAATGTAATTCATAATATAGTCCATGGAGGTGCAATAGTTTTCATTTGTAGTATACCATGTGTAATATATCTGCCTTAATAGATATCTATCATATTAACTAAATAATGTGAAGTGTTTATCATCTGTTTTTCCCAGTTGAATGAAGGCAAGACCTAAACCTACTAACCTAACTAATTTTTATTTTTTGTTGTTGTTGTAAACTTGAGAGTACATGGTTCATGTTCCATTGTTGTGAAATCATACTATGCGTGTCAGGGCCATAGATGCATTGTAAGAATGATGGGTAAATCCCACTATTTGACTAGAGTAGTCCAAAGGTTTGGCTGTGAGTGCTATTGACAAGCTGTCTTTGCTCTAGTCTTTCAGCTCAACATACAATTATATTTTTTAAAAAAAGACATGTTTTAACTCACCACTTTGTAAATTAATTGTTAGAAAGGATTATTTGCATTGTGAAATTTTTCCAAATGTGTCTATCTTATATATATTATGATCCATGGTGTCTGTCTGAGCATTTGTCTGTCTCCCATTTGAATAGCTGCACACTCAGAAAGCTCAGAATTCACTTTTGAAATGATGGGAGAACAAGCATGAATAATGTTGATGCCAAATTTTATTTTGCAAGCAGGACATTCTAAACTAAATTGCTAGGAATTAATCACATTGTTATTTATATTTCAAAATGTGACATAACCTAAAGAATAAAAATGTAGATTTATCATATGTTATTGTTGAATGGCTCTTAGCATGACTGAAATGCTCAACAATTACTTTTTCCAATGGGCAGTATAAGTTGCTCAGAGCTTCGACTCAGAGTGAAACACAATTAACCTTTTTAAAGCCCATGAAATAATTTAAATTGATATATTAACTTAAACTTTTCTCATCACTGGGTACGAGTACTTTTACTTGTTTGAAATAAGCTCAAATTTTTTATTAGTTTGACTTTAGACAATTGAATTTCTGGTAGTGACATAGTAAGTTCAGTTCTATTTTAGCCATTAGTTGGTGATACTTTTGTTGATGTTTAGAAAAGCTGTACATTTATTTGAAAGAGTACTCTGTTTTTGAAATTTTTCTACCAGAAAATCATTGAAGTTGGGAAGTGGTTGCCAGTAGCCTCTTTTAGCTTTGGTGATATATCTGTAATTCATTATGATTTGTATTTGCAAACCAAACTGTTCAACACATTTTAGAGTTTTATCAATATGTCTGTTAACATCTTGTTTATGGAGTTAGAAGATTTATTCTTTTTTTTTGGAAGAATTAAAATTATACCATCACTACCCCAAATTTTGTTTCTAGCTAATGATGAATGCTGTTGTAATGGTCTGCTATGCAAGAAGAAATACTTAAAGTCCACAAAATGTAACTTTCTTCCTCAATTAAATGTTAAAAGTTATGCTTATATTAATTTTTTTGTTCAAGCCAAAATTTATTATATTTATTATATTGAAATTTATTTTTTGTGCTGTTTAATTAGTATTAACAAATTTAAGTAGAGTTGAATCAAAAAAATACAAACTCAGTTGTTTATTTTCCTATTGTTATGGCAGAGTTCCCGATGCAAATACAACATCTCGAGGGTTGATCCTAGCAGTGCGCTCTTTTTTGTATTTTTCGCAATTAAGTGCCTGGCTTAATCTTTCAGGAGGAAAATTTCCACAAAATGTACAGTATAGGTAAGTAAAGAAGTTTGAACTATTGTGCTATCATATTAACATCTCAAAACAAAAACTTTGGCTTAAATAGAAAGTGCCAGTAAATGCTTTAATATGGTGTTTTTTGAAATAAATTTTAAAAAGTTTCTTGTATCTGCATGTATTTAAAATGTTTGTATATCTTAGGCAAAAACAAAATTTTGAAAAATTCAACATTTACATTGTTCAATGTTCAGTTATGTAAATGTATAATATTTTTATTTCTAGCACATATCGTGTATATGTAGAGAAAATTCCTTTTTCATTCTTGAACAGAGCTGTAGTGCTTCAATATATCTGTCAAAGAATATATAAAAATTCCCAACTCAGTAAGCTCTAAATGAATATATGCATACACCTACATACAATGTAGCTCTGTAACAAATTTAGAATTTGTTAAAACAATTTTTAAAAGTTAAATGATTTATGCAGTTATTGTGAAATGGTGAGAAAGTTAATGGTTTTTAATACATCATTATTCAGTTAAGTTGGTTTTCCATATTGTAAAGTTTTAATTATTCATTCAAAATATGCATGACATTACACTACCTTTGTTATACACCTTCTCTGTGGCTGACCAAAGGCAGATGTACCTATGCTAGTATACACACACACACACACACACACACACACACACACACACATATATATATATATAATAAATTATAAGTGAATGCAGATATCTAGCTTACAACCGTTTTAGAGATTCACAAATGCTTTACATAGACTTATGTATTTTCTGCTACTTGCATCCATAAGTGGCAAGCTGGGACTAAAACTGTGTGTCAAAAGCTAGAACAAATGATCTAGATATAGCTGCTTTTGAAACATGTTGCTTTTAAAATTAATCTACAATTTGAACATCACTAGAAGTGTATGAAATACATCGTTTTCTTAATAGCACCAGGTTTTAAAATTATATAAATAATGAACCAAAAAATCTTAGATTAGTTACAGTATACTCTCCAAACACTAAAAGTTATGATATTTTAAAAATTCAGGTTAATTTAAATATCTGCTCTTGTTGTTCATTTAACTTTTTGTTTTTACTCATAGGCCAGAGTTAGGTTAAATATAATCATATCATTCTTAAATGCACATTAATAAAATGTCACATGTGGTCAGTCCTACTCTAATGGGTGGAAACGCCCATCTGCTGGAACAAAATGACAGTTGAAATTATTCAAATGTGGTTTTATAGACAAATGATGAAGATCAGCTTCATAGAAAGAACAACTACTGTAAAAGCACTGGAATGTGCAAAGACAAAGACAACTGCTGGAGGTATGTAGGAAATGGAAGATGTACTGCTTTGGTCACATAATTGGATCTGAGGAAAGGTTATCCAAGATTCTGGTGGATAAAATCAAAGAAAGAAAGAGTGATAGGCAGTCAGAGATTCACTTGGTTTGATGACATTAAAAAATGGTTTGAAGATGAACAAATTGAATTTGAAAAGTTAGTACATGCAACAAGTAATAGAGAATAATGGAGAACATTAGTCATTGACCCTCAGAATTGGGGAGGACACCATGATTGGTTAATAATTAAATACAAATATGTTTTTGCATTATAAACCTTAGATCATTGCCATTTGATGTTGTGGAGAGAGAAATATATTAGATCCATCCTACAATTGATGGGCTTGCTTTATAAATTTTTTGTTAGTTTCACTTACGTGTTGGGTCCTAATCCCTGCCATAGGGAATGTGAAAAACAAAGTGTGATGACTATAGAAGACCTTAGTGTCATCCAGTTGGAAAATTTAATGAAAAATAAATTTTGAAGAGTGTCTTCAATGTCATCTTTAAAATGTGAAGAAAAGAGTTTGGATTTTGGGAAATTGTAATTAGTAAAACAGAAAATAATAGTTTAACAAAAATATCAGTAACAGCTAGGGGTCCAAACTGATGAAATTACATATTCTAGACAATATATATAAGACAGCTTGAACAGTATATTTAATAAGTTATGCTCATTACTGGGTATACTTTTAGTTCTGATCTCTTAATATATATATTGAATTTGTTTGTTTGTACAGAACATGCATGATGTGTAAATCTTAGATGTCACAAAATGATGGATGCAAATGAAATTCCCTATAAAGCTCTAGAATTAGGTTATCTGCTAAAAATTTGGTATCTGAAAGATATTTGGTTATGAAATGAAATATATGTACACACCTCAATTGTTCTCCGTTTTTGTTATACGTGTAATGAACATTGTTGCTCTTAATTGTTGCACTCTAAGCATAAAAGTCTGTAACTGATGAAACTGCTGGTTTGATTCTTTAAAAATTTTTAAAAACTTTTTTTAACTTTAAATATGTACAAATTTTATGCATCTATGTTTTTGTTTAAAAAAGTTTAATTATAAAATTTAATATCTATTCTTAGAATCTGTGTCCCAGGAGAAGCCTTTTCAAACAAATTCTCCAAACCACCAGAAATGCATGTTTTTCCTTTGGCAAATGTTGGAAGAAACAATGCCATGAAAGTAACAGTGCGAACATTACCCCGTGATGTTCATATTACTTTACAATGCAAGGTTCATGAAAGGCCAAATACAGAAGAGCATAAGAATACAGGGACTTTCAACAAAACAAAAATTGGCAACAAAGATGAAACATTTTCAGAATATGACAAGAAAAAGTTCATCAGTAGTGACCAAAGATCAAGAATTGACAAATACTACAAAGGAAAAGCTGACAGATTATTTGAAAAAGTACCATCACGAACCTCAAGTCCTGCTGATTCCATGTTGGGAGACAGTCTTCTCGATCCACCACAATCCTTACAGATGTATCCTAAACGTTACCAGTCACCCTCCCGCAGTGGCAGTCCCAGTATTGAGGCTCCTGAAAGGCTTATGCTGGGTCCTAGTTCCTGCAAGAGGGAGTATGAAAAGCAAAAGTGTTGTGTTTATAGAAGACCTCAGCGTCGTCCAGTTGTGGAACGCTTTTTGAAAAATGAATTTGGAGGAGTGTCTTCAGGGTCATCTTTAAAATATCCAGAAGTGAGTTTGGATTTTGTGAAGTCGGAATCAGTAAAACAGAAAATAAGTAGCTTAACCAAATCAAGTGAAATGAGCTCATATTATTGTGATGCATCAGTTACACCTACCTTGCCAAACCAAGAAATGCAGTTTGTGCTTGAAAGATTACGGCATCAGTTTCCACGCAATAAACACATCACTAAATCTACAGACCTGTATCATACTAATTCTGTGCAATACAAACATAATTTTTACTTGAATATACCAAGGAAAAAAATTCTTCCTCAGTCCTTCGAAAGCTCGCATCCCAAACCAAACCAGAAACATGAATACAGCTCTGATATTCCTTCCATAAAAAATGAAGTATCAAAAGATTCTGATCAAGAGCTTCAAAGCATTGTTTCAGCTTTTTCAAACCTTCACTTGGAACCTGTTATTAAAAATGAATCAGTCAGTGCAAATACAAAACAAATTTCATATCTACAAACTTGTAATACTAGTTTATTAAATTGTGAAACAAAGCAATTTTGTGATACCTCAGAGGCCTTAAAGGCAAAGAAAGAAACTGCAGGTAAAGCATATGAGATGGTGGAGAAAGGATCCCAAACCATGTTTTATTTTCAACATGACCATGAAAGCTTGGAGACAGAAAACTCAACAAATGGATTTTCGCAGGCTTCTTCTGAAATCCTTTGCACTTCAAAAGCATTAGATGAAAACCCTGGTATGCAAGAGGATGAAAGTGATACTTCTATAAAAGCAAAACAAGACAAAAATGACAACGATCAGCAAGACATAAAATATCAGAAACTTCCTCATTGTAAAACATGGAGTGAAGGATTAAGTCAGCTTCGTGCTAAAGCCTGTTTGGTTAAAAGGAATCGTCTCCTGAAGCAAATTTTACCTGGAATTCAAAATGGTTCATCCTTGTCTGTATCAGAGAATCAAAAGGTATAATTTTATTGTACCAAATTCTTTCCTGAATAAGAAACTGCATTAATTTTGTAGGTTTATACTAATGTCAATTTCAATGATGATTTTGTTTAGAATGGCATTAGAACTGAAACAAAAACTCCAGTTATATGCTAAATTTAAAAAAAAAAGTATTTCTGGGAAAAAATTTATAGTGTTTCTTATAATAAGTAAGGCATCCACTTACCTTCTATTGAATTCAACCTGCACATTACTTTTAGTAATAACTTTCCATCAGAATTAACTGTCAAGATTCTGTATGCTGTTAAGAAAACAACACTTTCTGAGTTAGAAAGCTGTATTTAACAGGTACAACACAAACTCTCATAGTCAATTTTCTGTTGTATAAATGAAGTTAAGTATCAATGCTATTCTTGGAAAAAATTTATTTTATAGATTAATGAGTTTTAATATTTCATACTTTTAATGAGTTGTTGACATAAAACCATTTCAAGAGTACAAAAGCTTTGTAACTGTACCTTTGTCAGGTTTTTAATGTATAGGCTGGATTCTTTACTGTAAGTGATTGTGACTTGTTGATGTTAAATTTCAACAATAAACAAACAGCATACAGTCCACTTATTTGAAAATAATATATTAAAACAAGTGGACTGTGGACTGTTTGTTTATTGTTGAAATTTATTGCCAACAAGTCACAGACACCTACTGTAAGTAATCCAGCCCATACATTTATAAGCTGACAACTTCTGTGAAAAATTTCCATATATACTTAGCTATAAATATATTTTTCTTATGAACACCATGTCAATTGACTCAAAAATTGTGTGTTATGTTATTCAATTGTCTTCCCTTCTTTGGATATATAGTTATTCTTTTTTTCTTTCTCTTCTTTGGTGCTATGCTGATCTTGTAATTCTCATATTTCAGTGTTATGCTGTTCTTTTTTACTCTAAATATTATATTAGTGTGTTATACTTTCTTCTATTGGTAATATCCTATGATTTTTCTTTGTTTTTGTACAAGTACTTTTATTGAGTGATGATATATTATTCTGCTTTGTTCATTTTTCTTTAGGTTATGTTTTATTTGTAATTCCCTTCTGTTGGGTGGTATCTCATTCTATACATTCATTATGTTTGTAAATATATTTGTATTTTCTCTGTTGCATGATAAGTTTCTCTGTTATACATGTAATTCTGTTTTATTGTGTGATGTTTAATCCTGTACTTGTCTTTCAATAAAATTGTTTTTCATATGCTGTTTTAATTGTTTATGTTCTTAGATCACTTTTCTTTAGATATAGTCACAATTTCTTTTTTACAACTGTTGCTTTTTTTTTTTTATGATATTTTGGCTTTATTTTGTATTTCCTTCTAGTTTGTGCTTTCTTACACTGCATTCCTTCTATTACTTGTTATTTTACTCTGCATTCCTCCTTTTGTATGCTTTACTTCTCAATGGAAAATCTCATTCTTCACCCCCTCTGTTGGTTGTTATCTAATAACCCTTTGGTCCTTTTTTTTGTTTTGTTTTATTTCTTTTCTTTTTCATTCTGTTTTGTTTGTTTTTATCTTACTCTTTTCTTATTTTGGCCACTTTCTTACACTGCATTCCTTCTGTTGATTATCTTGCTTTTCTTTCTTCTTTTAATTGCTTTTTTTACTTAGTATTCTTTCACTTAGTTGTAGTTTTTCTTTTGGCTTAATTTTTATAAAGCATTCCTTCTGTTGATTTTTTATCTTGCAATTTTTTCTTATTTTGATCCATTTTTTACATAGCTTTCCTTCTGTGGGTTGATATCTTTCTGTTTAACATTATTTTTTTAGATTGTGAACTTTTTATTAATTTACCAGTTGCAATTTGCCTTACAATGCTTCTCATGTAGTGACTATCTTTCTTCTATTCAGCAGTTTTAATTTAAATTTACTTCTCAGTCAGTGCTATCTCTCTCTTTTCATCTTTCTGTGGTTGCTTTCTCTCCTACTCTCTGTTTTTCTGCTATTAGGCTTTTTTTGTATTGTATTTTTTTGGTATTTATCTCTGTTAATTGGATGTTGTTTTATTGTAGGAAGTAAGAGCATCTGGGGATAGCAGAGTACCATCTGCAGAAGCCAAAGCCAAGTTTAGACGTTCACTTGACAGTGCCACTAGTTTAGTATTTTATAAGTCTAGTGGGTTGCCTCTTACATCAAGTCCTGTGAGTAAACTACTATATGTGTTTTGCTTAATTTTGTCAGTATAGGAAAAACATCAAGTGTACTTAATGATTATGTGCCTTATTACATATCAATGAGTAATTTGCTGTGTTTAAACTTCAGCTATTTTATTGTACAATTTCACATATACTATGTTACCAAAAGTATTAGGAAAGCACACCTTAAAAATGGAGGAGGTGGATTTTGTGCTAGGTCCTTGTTTTAATAGGATGTTCTTCTGCCTTTGAAGTTAATGATAGTGTTATCAACACATGTCACTTTTTAATTCATTTAGGGCAGTAAACCACCACTTCAGCAAAAGTAGTGTAAGTGTAGTGAAAGTTAAAGTCTCTATCCTTCAAGCAGTACACCAAAAATCCCTGTGAGGTTCATTTTGGATGCACTTCTTGACTTTGGACTAGCTGAAACAGGTTCTGGATGTTGTCTTAATTTGCTGCTGGACACAGCATGTTGTATGGCATGATACATTTTCATTCTAAGAGGTACGGTCCTTCTGATTGGATTTCATCAATATAGGTGATATAGTATTGTCCAAAATGGCACATCATTACTAAGTACTAGTGCCTCATATAACTAAGATAAGGAACCAAATCCATATCACCTACATTAAACATATGAATTGAATTAACCATTTTTCATGAGTGGGATCTTACAGTCATGTTTAAAGAGATCTCTGTTATCATCAAACTTGGGTTCATCCATCCAAAACTATTAAGTAGTAGTGAAATTGGTCACTCCTTTGACACATTTTTACTATTACTTGCTCCAGTTTTGATGCTCAAAGTACCATAAGTACCAACATTTTACATCCACAGCTGTGATGTTCAGCTTTGTTGCTGTGGCCCATCCATAAAATTCAGGAGATTGCAACTCTGCACATAATAGATGTTTTTGTTCTCAGCTCTAATCTCTTAGGGTCCTGAGTAATAATTTAATGTGATTGACAGGTTTGAAATTTTGTTTAACAATGTTTCAAAGTATGCATAGATTGAAGAATGATTAGTTTTATACACCCAGTGAACTGATTAAAAGTACTTAATGCCATAAATCAGTACACTTGTAATGATTAGAATTTATTTAATCAATTGTTTATATGTTTTACCATAATTCCAATGTTATCATGAGAAGATCTAGATTACCCCAGACAGTTAGTGAACAATGCTAAATAACTTTCATAAGTTTAATATTAATTTACAACTCGATAAAAATTATTATTTTATGTATTATAACCAGTAACATTTAATGAAACTACCTAAAGAAAAACTTATAAAACATACTAAAACATGGGCTAAGCATGGCTTAATGGTAATTGTGCTTGGACTGTGAACCCAAGTGTTCATGGTTTTTGGCCTGTTGCCATAAATGTTTCTCCATACTTTGGGGCTTTGGATGTGCTAACAAGAGTGATGGCCAAATCCCACTGTCCACTCAAACAAGAGTAGCCAAAGAACTTGCAGTGAGTGCTGTCAACTAACTGCTTTCCCACTAGTCTGTCAATTCAAAATTATGGATAGCTATTTGCAGATATGTAATTTTGTGCAAAAATTGTAACCAAAGAAAAGATACCATTCATTCTCTATTAAGCTCCACATCTTACCAGTACATGAACAGGAACATATACATGTAAAGTTAAACAGGTGTATCTTGTTAGAATCTTTTAACAACATATAACTCCCAATTGTTTAAACACATGATATGGCAAAAGAGAAAGTGGTATTAAACATCTTATGAATGGATACCACTGGACTATGTTTATGTCCAACAGCTTCAAAGCTATGTTATGATGAGGAATTATATGTGATGGTGCAGAGTGTCTTGTAAGATAGTAATTTATTTTAACATTTAGTTACTAGCAGTTTCTTCTTACCGAATTAGTGGTGGTAATATTTTGACTGATGGACTGCAGAATGTTTTTCTGTTTTAGTATACCTAGAAACATTTTGCTTTATTGTATAGATTGAGGAGTTTATATTAGATGTTATATCTTAAAAAGTTTAAGATATTACATGGATAAAAATTTTCATTGGTGTTTTGTTCAGAATATACTGACTAATCACTATGGATAATTCCTAATCAACATTTGCTTCTGTCATTTAAAAATGTTTCAGGAATGACTGATGGATGATCTCTCGATGCTTGTATTCCACGCTGTTCAAAATTTGTTGATTTTTATTGCACACAATTCTAAGTCTTGTATATGTACATCTAAGTTTTATTTTTCCTTCTTTTGTTCATTTTCTTGCTGAAACATTTTATTTCAACAGAAGTGAATAAAGATTTAAAAAAAAGATTGAGACAGACTTTAAGTTTCTGTGCTCTTGATCTAAGTACAGATTTTTCTAAGGATGGATTGGCATAACACTACAGCTAAGTTGTTATATTCATCAAACTAGTAGAAATCTTTAAAAATGCTGAACCAAATTTATACATATTGCGTTGTTTTAGTTGAAAAATAACTGAAATTATTAAAGTTGTGTTCACTTACATTTTGCATACACAATGAATGTACATGTATTAAAATATTGATTCTTTATTTTTATTTCAGGCTCCTATACGAAAATCGGGAACTTGCTTTGATTTTGACAGCTCCTTGACATCAGTGTCAGCCATTAAGAGGTTGGAACATTACTAACTTATAATAAAAGTATAAAAGGAACTTAGTTTACAGATCACATTGATTGAATAAAATTATTATTTTATGCAAATTTCACTATAAAAAAAAGGAAAAGCACTGAAATATTACTTATTAAGCATTATATTGGTTTCGCAGGAATCCTCATTACTGCTCTATATTTTTACTTATTTATGTCAAGTGCAAACAAAATATTAAAGATTTGTTCTAATATGAAATGTTTAGACCTTTTTCACCCAACCATAGAATAAGGATGAATCATCTTTATTAACTCTTGGTTACTGGGATTATTCAAGTGTTAATTATTAGGTTATTCAAGACTTGCTAGTTTTTGGTTTCCAGACTGAGAAGTCTTGTTAGTTCTAGGTTACTGGGATTATTCAAGATTTGCACGTTTTTGGTTACCAAGATTATTCAAGTGTTATTTTTCAGTTAATGGGATTATTCAAGATTTACAAGACTTGCTATTTTTCGATTATCCGGATTATTCAAGAGTTCAATTTTTGTTAATGAAATTATTTGAGACATGCAAGACTTGCTAGTTTTAGTTGCAGAAATTTTTCAAGACTGACTAGAGTTGTTATTTCTTGGTTCCCAGTATTATTCAAGACTGACTAGACTTTTTATTTCTTGGTTCCCAATGTTATTCAAGGTACTTTCAAGTATTATTGAGCAATTTCTCATGTTATGTAGTTAGCTTAAAATATTTCTTATATAGGTAAAAATAAGTTATATGTGTGTCCAGTCATTATTAAGAACAGGAAAAAAAAAAGAGAATTGCTTGATTATTTAAAACATAAAACTAATCAGGTGAGTTAGACGACACCAACCTGCAAAAGAGGAAAAATTATATTTCAAGAGCTGTTAATGGTTAATCTAAGCAGTATCAATTTTGGACAAAAAATAGTGGACATATTTAAAGATTTTGTACAAGATTTTAGCTACACAAAATTGAATTAAATGTCTGTGATCAGAATTATTTGGGAAGTTGCATTAAATCCATAGTTAAGGCTAAAGAAAATACAGTTTCTTTACAAATCATATCTAAGCTTGAATTCAAGCCTTTTAAGCTGTAGCTTGTTAGGTTTAACATTTAAAACGTTTATGTATTTTATTTGATTGAACTGGATAGTTATCAGTGTTATTAAAAAAAAAGAGCACATTTCGTGCCTTGTTTTGAAATTAGTAATTTTTCTATGTAACTTATTACTTTTGGACTGACAGCAGATAATTGTAATAACATCAAGTGATTATGTGATTTCTCTCGTACTTTTTTGTGTTATTTATGTGGTATTCAGTAACATCATAGATCTTAAATGGCACCTTACCTTAAAAATATAAATAAGCTGTCTTTGACATCAGTAAACATCATATGACCAAATGCTACTCTTCTCATTCATTCCCATTTTATCCTTGAAGAAAGATGTTCTATATTTTGAAAGTGTTTGGGTTATCATATTTTTATCTTGAATGTTAAAGTTCATCTGTTGTCATTTTACTTTTTAATACAGTTAAATAGTGAAGTAAATGACTACATAAATATTGGTCAAGTTTATATTCCAAAATATTTTTTTTAATTTTGAAAGATTAACTTTAGACACTTGATACCTTAAAGATATAAATGATATGCATACAGTGTAAATGCATCAAACATAAATCTAGTATTAAATCCTGATAATGTCAGTAAGTTAGCATAGAATATTATAACCCCAGGATGTATTCTTATATTCTTAGGGCTTTGTTTGAAAAGAACCCTGAGGAAGATGACCAAAGTAACTTTTTAAGTATCAGTGCCCCACCATCCACAACTACAAGTAGCTTACTTTGCAATTTTGAGGTATTAGTTTGAATTTGCTTTTACAGGTGTACAATATTAAGCTTATTGGAAGAGACAAAGAGGTATAATTTAGGCTTGGTTTCAAATTTCTAACTAAAAAAGAAAGTCTCATATCAAACGATTGGAGATCATGTTAGTATTTACTTACACTTAAGAACACGTGTAATGAGACACGTTGTGATAAAGACTTCAGCACTGTCTGCTCTAAATGAAAGAATGTTGCAGATAAAGGAGACTTTATAAGTTAGACATCTGGAACCAAGCCTAAATGATATCTCTTAATTTTTCAAGGTATACAGTAACTATTGTAATAAAATGCATGGACATGTTTCTGTAAATTGAGGTAACTGCTGTAAAATATATGTATTTTATGTTTCTTTCTGAGAAACTGTTTCAATACCTTATTTGATATAAAAGAAATGCTCTTAGTAAAGCATATTATACATGTTCAGTCTGATTACCAGTTGGACATTCATAATTATATCAGATCTGATGATCATCTGTTCTGTTCACAATGTTACTTTTACATTTATGTATGTATTTTAAAAGACTTAAATGCATTATTAACAATCTACATAGACAAAGAAAAAATAAGTTGTGTGTGAAACATTTACCACACAGTTATTTCTTTTCAGTTTTGAGAAAGTAACATCTTTAATATCTGAACTTAAGTACATTTTACAATATAATTATGTATTATTATATTCTGCTATAACAAAAAAATGTATAATATACACACATTAAATAATTTGTCTGTCAAATGGCAATATAAGTGACTAATTAATACATAAGTTGCAAGAAACTGTAAGCTTCAGCTTAGAATTTCTTTAATTCAGCTTTTATTTCTTAGAAAACTATAAATCTAGAGAAATGCAGGATTGGAAAGTGATTTGAGAGCTTTTAATATTAAATATAATATATAAAAATAACTAATTTAATTTCCAGTTACAACTAAACTAGAGTAGTAACAATATTTTTCATCTTGTAAACATTTCATGTGATTTTATTTTACCCTAGGAATCTGTTTTAAATGGTTGTCTAGAGCCAGTTAGTACAGTAGAGGGATTTACTGCAGAAATTGGTGCTAGTGGATCATTCTGTCCCCGCCACAAGACATTTCCTGTCACTGTGTTCTTCTATACTTTAGAAGAAGTTGACAAAGTTGTTTCCCCCTATCTTGTAAGCAAAAATTTCCATAATTTTATAAATATATAAAAAAGACTTAAATCCTTTCTCTTGTGACAAACTGTTCTTTATTTATCTGGCCATCACAGGCTACTACTCTTGAGTATAAAAAAAATTTTCCTGAGTAACTCAATATGTTTTTGGAGTTACCTACAATATATTTAAGGTACATCTAAACATCTGTTTGATTCCAACTGTATATATTAATTGAAGAGTCAATGAGAGGTTGCCAACAGTCAAACATGCAGGAAACTCTGGGATGGTTTAGGGGTAATATGTGCAAATGGTGTTGACCATCTTCACAAAAGTTATGGAATCATGGATTAGAATAAACACCACAGTATATTAGTCTGTCATACTATAACCCTCTGGAAATAAATTGATTGGACAGAATTTCATATTTCAAGAAGATAATGACTCCAAACATGCTATCAAGGAATGTTGAGCTTATTTGGCAAAGAAAGAAACCCAGAGATCTCCAATAATTGTAATGAATGCCATCGTCCATCCATACCTTAACCCTATAGAACAAATCTTGGATATTCTGGACTCCATGCTTGACAAAAGTACCAGTTATACTAAAGAAATCCTCTGGACACATCTTCAAGAGAATGGAATCAACTAGCACCATAGACTTTGAGAAAGTACACAGACAAAAAGCTACAAAATGCAAAACTGTTATTGATGCCAATGTTTAAATTAGTAGATGGGGCAACAAATGCACTATTAAATATCCAATAAAATTATTCTAATTTTGTTAAAAGATTGTTTTAATGTAATTATGTGTTAAATGTTGTGACATGTTATTGTCCAAAACTTTTCAGACAAATGAGATGAAGGAAGTTAAAAATGTATAGTACGTTATGTATATGAAAACATTAAAAATATAACATTGTTTATACATAAATTATTGTAATAGAGAATAATGTAAAATAAAACAAAACTCTAAACGTATAAAATGTAAATATACATGCTCTACAAAGAAAACCATAATAAGACATATTTATATAGTGTATCAAATTTAAATAGAAATAGTTTGTACAAGGTACATACAGTTATATTTTCTTAATACGTATATACATACTCATATACATGTTTATGTAATTGGTCAAAGTTAAATACATGTTGTACATATTAACATGTGTATATATATATATTTATCCATGACATGACAATATTAAGGTATATAGGGTATGTTTCCTAAACTACCTCAGTGAAACAAAATGCTATTTCCTTAGCTAAAGAAATAGCATTAAAAATTCTACATACAATTGTAAGCAAGGAATATTTATACCATTATCTGACAATCACCATTTCCTTTTCATACACCTGAACTTCCTGAGCAATCATGAAATGTAGTTTTGTTTATTGAATTGCACATGTTGGTCAGTTATGTTCGGTTTCTGGATTTAGACTACTCAGTAAAATTTGGGTATCTAACAAAAAAATTAAGGGTTTGTTAAGAAATTTATAAAATTAAATTGGAATCAGAATCTCCAGCAGCATACTTCTTAGTTATATTATTTAAACTAGCCCTATATGATTTTCTTACAAAAGTTAATTCAATGTATGATTTGATATTGATCAGTTTTCAGCAGAAATCTTACAATAAGTTGATCTAGTTCCTAAAATAATGTTTGACATTTTGCAAAATTTACTGTTGAACTGAACTCATTAGTGTAATGCATTATAATGATGATTGTTTTTTTTATTTTGAAATTTTATAAATCTGTAAAGTGCTGTTGTTGTAGAAGTAAGGAAAAAAACATATAGAACTTCATGTAATCAGTGTCGATCTACAGATGTCTTTGTGGTTGTAGAAAATATCTTTGTTTCAGATGTTTCTGAATGTGGCTTATAATAGCAAAATATTGAAGCAATCATGAATGGAGCGTTAACATATCAAATCTTAAGAATTATGAGACTGGTATTGTAGAGTCTTCTCTGACTTGATGTACTGTTGTTGACAGAATATAAAGTAATTAATAATTAGTATCTTCTAATATAAAAATCAATTATTGTTAATAAGACTCATGTGATTGTATAGTCTACTAACTGTGACAACAGAACATGTGCTATCCTACTTTGAGTTATTCTGGTGTGACACCCTCACTTTTTATAATTGTGGGAACGGAATCTGATGTTGTTTCAGTGGAAATTTAGACAGAATATACATAGTAGGTTTCAGAACTTTAATGGAGTGCAACTACCTATTGAATGAAAAGGGAATGAAATTTCAGCTTCTATGCTGAGGACTTCTTTTTTAATGCTTTCAGGTCATGCTACTATGAAGCAAGCTGAACAGTTACTTTACTTATAAATAGCTTTCAAACTATTGATTACATTAATTGTTAATGAGCAACTGAATCAGCACTATAAAACAATAATGGATTAAATATTGCATTACTGTTATCCATCCAGGTTATAAACTTATTGTCATAGCAGATAATGTCTGTGGCAATAGCACCCAAATGTGTTTGGGATATCCCATCTATCAGACAAAATCCAAATGCTGATATTAATCTAGTCAGCTGTCATGGAAAATCAAATAAATGTATGAAAATCAGATAAGGGTACAAAGCTAAGTGATTACACCCACAACGTCTCACCTTCTACTGCCTTTCATTGTCTATAGCCAGTTATAGGAAGGCAGTTACCCTTAAATATCTTGAAGTAGAAATGAAACCACCCTAACATTTCTACTAATTAAACTCCCAACCTCCACACGTACAAAAAGATATTAAACAGAACCATAATATGTTAAATAGAACTATAAAATATTAAATAGAATTAAATAGAAGTATAAAATATTGAGTAGAACTAAACAGAACCATAAGATATCAAATAGAATTAAATAGAACTATAAAATATTGAGTAGAACTAAACAGAACTATAAGACATTAAGTAGAACTAAATAGAACTATAAGAGATTAAATAGAGCTATAAACCCCACCTTAAAATTTCTTATATAGTTCTTACTCTCAACCTCCTCCACTATGACAATAAGTCGATAACCTGGACTATATATGTGTGTGTGTTTGAATTAGGTCATCAAGAAATTAATGTCACGTTTTGAAACACTTTCATTAACCAACCCTCAAACAACGTACATTACATATAATAGTTAAACAAACCACCTAAATGTCATGTTAGTATAGCCTATATAATGTGAAAAGTTTAGTATACTCTAACCACTTATGGTAATGTCACACGACAAGACACACATTCAACATGTAATGCTGTTTGAATACAAGAAGGGAAACAACACTTCTGTAGCCACAAAGAATATCAAAGAAGTTTATGGAAATGTTTTGAACGTTCATAAATGTTAACAATGGTTTTTGCAAATTTCGTTCAGGTGACTTTAACCTTAAAAATTGTTATAGCAGAGGCAAACATGTTGAAATTGATGCTCTGAAGATGTTTGTTGAGTCTAACCCAAGGCAACACACTTGTTAAATGACCTTGAAATTGCATGTCTGTCATGGAACAATACATAAACATCTAAGGAATATAGGTAAACTCTATAAAGAAGGTGTTTGGGTGCTTCACAAACTCTATGATGATCATTGTTTTCAACGTGTGAATGTTGCTTCATCTCTTC